ATAAGCGTTTTTTTATAGGCTCCCAGCTTCAGGGATTTTGTGATAGCCACAGAAACAGATAAAGACAACGGCATTGAGAACTTTCAGACCTTCCATGTGGGACTTACCTGCATCTCTCAGCCTTAGCATGCCTGCCTACTTTCTACCTTCCCAATTTAATAGGACAGTAGAGGCACAATATGGATTAGCTCAACATTTAGCTCTTATGTCATTATGATATTGGATATTGAAGGAATAAAACATGGTGTTTTCTTTGATGCTGTTTTGCTTTTGTTAGCTTTCACCGCAACACTCCCAGTGTCTAAAACATTAAAAGCATTGTGATTTAGGGGTTGGGGAGATGGCTCAGCAGTTAGGGACATTTGTTGCTCTTGCAGAGGGACCAGGGTTCAGTTCACAGTGCACGCGTTGGATCTGATACCCTCTTCCCCACAGTGCAGAGACATCTTTCTTTCTACTATGTTTAATCCTTTTTCTGGGATCTCTTTCTTGTTTTACAGTTTTGTCAAAACACCGTGATTTTTACCAAAGGTCACAGAGGGGAACACTCAGAATGCCCTCAACCCTGACTAACAGTGCACCAGTTTCAGACTGCAGGCAGAAAGTAGTTTTCCACAGGGCTTCTGAATGCATTTGCTTCATTTCCTTTTACTTTCCAACATCACAATTCAAAAGTCTGATTCTTGGAACTTGTATGAAACTCTTCCTCTCTTTAGAACATTTTGGAACAAAAAGTGTCTCTAATGTCACAGTGATGTGCTTTGGCTTGGTCTGTTTTTAATGTGCTTCCCAGGGCATTTGGTAGCTTTCTTTAGTCTAGTGATTTCAGTTCTGGGATTTTTATTCATCTACTCTATGGGCGACACATTCCAGTCCACTTTTTCTGTTCTCTTTGGCAGAGGTCCTGCTACTCCAAGGCTGGGTCTCCTGGATTTCATTTCTCTTCCCTAATTTTACAGTTGTTTCTTTACTCTGCTTTCTGGGAAGTTTTGTCAACTATCTTTGCTAACATTTCTAGTGTAGATTCAATTTCCACTATAATCTTAATTTCCAGGAAATCTCTTCACTATCCATTCCCCGTTCCTTCAACATAGCATTTACATAATCTCTCAGGCTGCAGCTTCTCCTGGCATAGTCCCTGATCTTCTGGCTACTCTGCTTTTTGTGTTTACCTCAAGTGTCTAGTGATCTTTAGCTGCTTGCTCATCTTTAAACAGGAGGTAGCCAAGTCCCAGCACTTGGGATGCTGATGCAAAGGGATTATAAGCTCATAGTGAGACCTGATCAAAACATACTTATTTATACATAGACACAAATATATGTGTGTAAATATACATACACATACATCTGGGGTGCATGGGATTATCGTGGGAAGTTTTTCTGTGAGTCTCATCATAGGTGGACTGACTTGCAATCATGGTCTCTGTAGAGTAAAGCTGTCAGCATTCTAGATGTCAGGGAAGGAAGATAGCTGGGGATCTCAACTCAGTGTGACTTTTCCCTTAATTCTTATCTTTAGCACTGGACCCCTGACCTCAGTGCCCGGCCTCATCTCTGTCCTTTTTGGGATGAAGGCTCTGTCTCTTTGTGAGATCTGGATAGGTGACTGGGTGACTTTCTGTCTTTCTGGTACTCTTCATACTTTCAGTATCACCCTTACTCCTCCACCCAGAATCACCTATTGTTGCCAGCTCCTGAGGGTATATGGGGTTCTGTGGTACCAACCTACTCTCCTTTCTCTTCTCGTTCTAGTTCAGGAATAAACTATCTCAGCGTTAGTAGCCATGTGCTTGTCTGCTTCCTAGCTTCCAGAGTTGTGTTGCTTTTGTCCTTCCTCTTTTCTTAGACTTTGTCTATTTTGCTATTTTAGGGGGACTTACAGGGAAAATAAAGGTATTCAACTTGCTATTTTAACCAAGAACAAATCACTGTTCATTGTGTGCTAATGTGTCTGTCTTTCAAATCAAATGTTGAAGATCTCAAGAGGGTATTTCAATAAACTTCTACAGAATTGACAATATTAAGAGATTAGAAGATAGGCCTGGTGGCTCATGCCTGTCCTTGTAGCATTTGATAGGCTGAGAGGCATGAGGGTTGCCACAAGTTGTGGTCTAGTCTGGGTAACATAATGAATTCAGGCCACTATGGGTCACAGAGTGAGATGTTGTCTATATAGAGGTAGGAGAGGAGGGAATTCCCTGATTGTGAATTCTTAGATAAATAAATGGAAAAGTAAGTCCTATCTGTGTATTGTCATATCAGGAGAGAAAATAAAGTCTCTTTAGGTGTGGTGACAATCCTAGATCACAACAGCATGCTGTCATCTAATTGCTCTATTTTGCATAAAATCTCAATGACAATTTATTCAGCAAACCCTAGGCAACCTACCACTTTAGAACTAATGAATTAAAATGGGCTTTGGGAGTTCATGTGGTCATTCTTTCCCTCCAGCTGGAAGCTTCATTAGTCTGTTATAGAACCACAGAGAGTCCAGCATGTAAATGAGTTTATCACACCTTTGAAAAGCTGAAGGATATCAGGTTCTTAACTCTACACAGGGAAGGTAGGACACAGACATAGGGCGAGGCCATCCACCTTTTAGTGCCTTAGATGCTGGTGACCACCTATTCTCAGAGGACCCAAGGCCAGCTCTTGTATCTGCCCTTCTTTTCCAGTCAAGAGCGAGTCAACAGTCAGGTGGCCAACAAAGCTCACAGACCAAACTAGAGGAGAGCCCAGTGCTCAAACCCTCATCAGGCAATTTTTTAAGACTCCAAACCTCCTCACACAGGCAGGACTTATACTTAGATTTCCTATACTATCAGTTTTCTTGCTACTGTGAGAAATTATAACCTCAAGCAAGGCTGATGTTCAAGAAGTAAGAGATACTAACTTAAAAAAACAAAAACAACAAACCAAACCTCTTTGGGTTGGCAAGACGGCTCAGCAGGTAAAGTCTCTCTTCCTGCCAAGCCTGACAGCCTAAGTCTGGTCTCCAAGCCCCACATAGTCAACCAATTGCCCTCGGACCTCACACTAAAGTCATGGTATCCACACACCTTAAATAAAACGAAATATAAAACTTAAAGACCTTTTGGGAAAGTCTCTGAAGTACAAGTGGAGAAAAAGTAAAGTCATGGGGGCTTTCCAGCACACAGCAGTGAACCAGTGAAGACAGCACAGCAGTGCACATCTGCCTAGTTCTATAAGGATCGCATTCATTAGTGTTGCAGAATGGACCCTGGCTCCTCCCCCTACTAAAAGAATCTGCTGCAGGGCTACAGAGATGGCTCGGTGGCTTAGAGCACTTGCTCATCTTTCAGAGCACCTGAGTCCGGTTCCTGCACCCAGGTTGGGTGGCTCACAATTGCCTATAAATCCAGCTCCCAGGGATCTGACACCCTTTTCTGACTTCCAAGGTCACCATGTGGCATACACACACATATACTTAAATAAAAAATAATTTTAAAAAATCTGCTGTAGTAGAGCAGACTTCAGACAGTGCATCATTTTTACCTGCAAATACTCAAAAATATATTCTCTATTTAGAATATTCTCTTTATTTGAATTTGTATAAAATACAATACCATTATTGTCTCTAAAATAACTCATTAATATCATATAATACCCTGGCCTAGTTTTAAATTTCTCACACTATCTGAAAAACACTTTCTCAAAAAAGGTTTAAATAAAAAAATTATTGCATTTGACTCCTATATCTTCTAAGTTCCTTGCTTGGTTATTGTTGAAAATTGTATGTTCGCGCGTGTGAGTGTGTGTGTGTGTGTGTGTGTGTGTGTGGTTCCTCAGTACCTTCCACCTTTTGAGAGGGTTCCTAACTGAACTGGAACTTTGCCAAGTAGCCAGACTAACTGGCCGGGGATCCCTAGCGATCTTCCTACCTCTGCCTTCCATCTCACAAGAACAGGAATTACAAAAATGCTCCACCATCCCCAGTTTTTTACATGGACTCTGGGGGACTGAACTCAGGTCCTCATGCTTGCAAGACAAGTAATTTACAAACAGAACCATCTCTCTAACCACTAAGTCTGTCTCTGTCTCTCTGTCTCTGTCTCTCTCTGTCTCCGTCTCTCTCTCAGATTTTTGAGATAGGGTTCTCTGTGTAGCTCTAACTGTCCTGGAACTCACTTTGTAGACCAGGCTGGCCTCTGCCTCCTAAGTGTTAGGATTAAAGGTGTGCACCACCACCTCCCAGCAAGTCTCTTCTAACTCACAACGAAAGCCTCATTCTCTAAGTTAGTTACCTAGAACTGTATGCTTACAAATTGAAGGTAAGTCTACTTATCTGTCTTCTTTAAGTGCTCTGGGGCATGTAATGGGTATGTATTGGCTTAACACTTCCTTTGGTGAGGTGGGAACCTGCTAGGCAATCTACTATGAAGGCATTCTACCTTATTTACTGATGCAGTCAATAAAATTTTAGAGACATTGGCCTCTAGATTTATGCATGCTTAAAAGCCTCCCTGATCCGTGCTGCAGAATGCAATGATGCTATTGGACGTGTATGTTCAGTAATAAGTATATACACTAGTCATCATTTTAGAAATGTGTTCAAGCAATTTACTGCAGTTGCTGGTAGTGGGCTAAGGTTTTCCTGGGTTGGCAGCTAAAACCTAACACCCAACACTTCTGCTCATTCCTGTGCTTCCATGTCCCTCCTGTCTGGAATCTCTCTTTTAGTGCTACTACCCAGAATTTGCCTTCTTCTTCTATTTCTCTTCCCTTCATACTCAACCACTATGGGCTGGGTGGCTGTCGTGTGCTAGATGTATTATAAGCTTAAACCCACAGAATCCTCATCATTTTGTAGAGGTGAAGCCTCAGAGAATCTAGGGAGCTGCTGCAGGCCACTGGGCTCTGAGAGTCAGACTCTTGTCTCATTACTCTGAAGAGCAGGCGCTGACCATCAAGTCACATAATGGAGGTAAAAGTCAATGCCAAGAGGTCCATGCTATAGGTATTTCTAGGTAGACCAGTACCTGCTCCATGAAATCCCCCGCAGACATAGAGCTTCCCATCCACGGCACCTGCATTGGTGGAATTGCTTCTCAGTGAGAGGAGGGGACTTGGCATAGGTGGGCCTTCCCGCCAGAAGTCCCCATCAGGGTTGTAGATCTCCACCACATCAAGGCATTTCCGAACTTGTCCCTTGTCTCGGCCCACACAGCCAATTCCACCTAAGGAAATGAAGCACAGAAATGGGGTGTTTTGGAGCAGAAGTCTCATAGTAGACATCTTCTCCTCCTAGAGTGGCTGGCAGCACAGGTGTGCAGGCCTTGACTTTTCCTTGTCACCTATTTCAAAGATAATTTCTATGTGACAGCAGTGTCTTCCATGTGTTTCACAGACAAGTTTAGTGTCACAGCAATGCACTAGTTCCTGTTACTTAGACATAAGAGTCATTCTGAGTAGACCTTGCAATGTTGGTTCATACAATGAGCACTCCCTTTCCAGTAAGAATACTGGTTGAATGATTCAGACACTTGCCTCATTCTGAGCAATGATTTCACAGATGTAGCTATCAAGGACTATCTTATCCATGCCTCATCACTGCAAACTCGCCTCTCATCTTCATTTGCATGGATATTTTTCCATTGAAAAGAAGGGCTCTTTTGTAAATTTCAGGTTTGAGATCAAAGGAAGACCAGAAGAATTGGGAGGTGAAATGCCCAGGCCATTTCCTTACTGGACACCATGGTTTATATAGCAGATGCTCACTAAATGCTCACTGTTAACAAGATAATGGTAAGTGACAAGAAGTTCAAGACAAGGCTTCCCCACACCGCTCTTTAGAAATTAATGGAGTGAAGGCAGGGCATAGTGGCACATGCTTTTAATTCCAGCACTGGGGAGGCAGAGGTAGGCAGATCTCTGTGAGTTTGAGGCCAGTGTAGTTGACATACTAAGTTCCAGGCCAGCCAGGGCTACATAGTGAGACACTGTCTCCAAAAAAACAAAAAGTTACAGAGTGGGAAGGGGCATACATGTAAATAGATGAAAAGCAGGGCAGGCATCTCAAAGGCTACTTCAGAGATCCAGGAATGGAAACAGGGAACAGACATAATACGTATAGAATTAGGACTTTAAGTTCAATTGTGTAAGATTTTTCAAACCCACTGTGACCAGAAACATCAGTCTGCATGTGACTTGTTTTTATTCTCCCCTTCTGGGATGATTTGAATGAGATACCCCTCAGAGTCTTGAGTTTTTGAATGCTTGGTCTTTGTTGGTGCCGTTGGGGGAGGTTTAGGAGATGAGGCCTTGCTGGAGGAAGAATGTTATTGGGGATGGGGAATGTCACTGGGGGTGGGCTTTCAGAGTTCAAAGACCTGTGCCATTCCTCAGCTTTGTTCTCAGCTTCCTGTTTGTAGTTCAAGATGTCGGTTCTCAGCCTACTGCCCCAGTCACCATGTCAGCCTACCATCAAGCTTTCCCTCTGTGGTAATGGACTCTTATCTTTCTGAAATGGTGGGCATCTTCGTCATGTGTTTTATCACAGCAATGGAAAATTAACTAAAACATCTCATAAGATTTTATATGTGAGGGTCACGGTTCTTGACCTACAGGGCAGCTCCTGAAACTGAGGCAGATTCCCTGGAGGAAGGGACAGTCTTGTATTTGCAATTGTTTTCATCACTATCCCATTCCATTTAGATGCACGATGATATTTATAAACCATGTTTAAAAGAACTGTAAAGCATTGGCCTTGGCTACACCAGTTCTCTGGGAGGATGGCTCTGGAAGGGCCACTGACATGTGGGGTGACGAGTGCTTGTTGGGGGTATACTATCAATCACAAACTGAAAACTAAGAGATACTTATGGCCTTTATTGTAGACTCCACGTGCTGAGAAGTTGCTTACACAGTCTCTTCTCCTCTTCACCACTACTTAGACTCTAACCTTTGCTAACTCAGTCAGGCAGCATCATCATCATCATCGGCTTCTTCGTCTTGTTCTCCGGCCCCCACCTTCAGCACCTCCTACAGACTCTGATATATCATGTGTCTGGAATGAATGAATGAATGAATGAATGAGACACATTCCTTCCCTGTGTTCTTGCTACTCTTTCCACACTGCATCCCCTGTCTGCCTAGGTCTGGGCATTATAAGCTTACAGAGGGCAAAGGTCACATGGCCATGACTGGGCCTGCCATACGTACTCAATGAATTCAGGGATGGAAGCTGTGTACTTCTCCATAAATGGATCTCAAGCCAGGTTTTGAAGGTGAAAAAAAAAAGGCTGGAGGGGTCTCCCCACCTTTGCTGACGTCACCTGGTCAGTTCTCTCAGCATGAACCCAGAGAATAAGGATATGAACTCAGGATGCACTTAGCTGCTTTACCTCTTATCTGCCTAGATACACAGTTTAGCCCACTATGGAATGGAGTCTGAGCTGATGTGTTTTAAGGGGGGGGGCACATTGGCCTCAGCACAGCTAGCTCTGGGTTCATGGCAGGCCCACTTTCAGTGTGGCACTGTAGTAGCAGGACACTCCTTAGTGGTAGGAAAGATGGAACCTGCTAATATTGGACAAGAAGTCATACAGAAGATTTATCTGTGGCAGCAGAGCCTCCTGTGAGAGGCAGGAGACATGCTTTGGCGCTGGCAAAATTTGTGTTGCAACGTTAGACCAGTAAGTGAAGCAAGCAATCTTGACAGAAGTCACCAAGAGTCAGGCTGTGGCACCCAGAGCACCGGCATCTTGATTCTAACTGCACAGAAAGGACCTTCAGAAGAGCTGCCCCGATGTGACACAAGCAGTGTGGGTATCATTCTCGACTGTCTGAGATAATGAGAGCGCTTGTCACCTTTGCTCTGCTACCAAGTGCATTTAATTACTACATTCAAAACTAACCTTGTGAAATGTGCCCATTCTCTTTGGTGAACAGACAGTTCACATGCCCACCCATGTGACCCCCCCATCCCTGGTGACCCCAGCTTACTGTGCTCTGTCTCTGTGCTGGCTGTGAAGCCTGGACTCATTCTCTGTGTCACTGAGTGTGATTTCACCTCAAGCACACTCCATTAGCAGCAGACTTAATGAGCTTAGACTGAAGGTGAATCTTGATTAGATAAATAATCAAATAAAGGCCTGCTCTTTATTAATAAGTCAGCACTTGGCTCTACAAGCACAGCCTTTTGATGAGGAAGCCTAGGGTATGATCTGCAGCTGCAGAATGTCAATAAGTCAGCTCCATGACTTTAATCTACGTGCTGCCAGAATTTCCGAGCATGACGTTCCCTCACTCAAAACCAAGCAAGTGAACAGAAATTACCTTCATAGATCATGCCCAAATGCACTTCGCATGCAAAATATATGCCTAGATTATTCGGGTGTGGGAAGAGGAAGAAAATTACAACTTGCCACTCTTTCTTCATTTTATTCCTACAAAGATAAAGATTCCTTCTTCTGATGTTGGGCTATGATGGGTTCTTTCATTTCTGGGTGTGTGTGGGAGTCAACTTGTCCTCCTACAGAGAGCCTGGCAGACAGCTGGCTGAAGGCACAGTGACTTGCCATCCAGATGCCTATGAATGCAGTCCATACCTTTCCCCTACAGTGTAGCCTCAAGGTGGCAGGCTTATTCTACCCTGCTCTGGGCTTGATCCAAAGCAGGAGAGGAATTTCATCAATATTTGCAAACTCCCAAAGTTGCTTGAATTGCTAAACCAGGCTTGGAGGGTGGGGCCATGCTGAAAGCATGTGGACCTTTAGTAACAGATCCTAGTTCACATTCTTTTTTGTTTGTTTGTTTTTCAAGACAGGGTTTCCTCTGTGTAGCTTTGGAGCCTGTCCTGGAACTAGCTCTTATACACCAGGCTGGACTTGAATTCACAGAGATCAGCCTCTGCCTCCCAAGTGCTGGGATTAAAGGTGTGCGCCACCACACCCGGCCCTGGTTCACAATATTGCATCACTATTTGATAGCCAAGTGCAGTTGATTGCTTTAATTCTTCTAAGCCTCAATCACTCTTACTGTAAACCAAGGATAACAATGCTAATTTCATAAAATGTGGAAAGGATCAAACTGCTTAGATAATAACCAAGAAAGTGAGAAAACAAGGAGGAACTGGGAGCATTCATGGGTATCACCAAAGGAATTTTCTTTTACATAGTCCTTATTGTGTATTGCATCTAAGTAATATGCACACATGCAGCTGGTGTTCTGATGATGATTATTTTCTGTCCTGTTCTGTGGGGTTTTAAGTCTACCAGTGTTTTCTGTAATTGTTGAAATCTTGTGATTACCCTCATTTGAGTTTTTTACGTGCACAGTTGCTGGCTTATTGATATAGGGTCAAATGCCCATAGACATTTCTTTTGAACCTGGGTAGAGGGAATCAGATCAAGACAACCAAAAGCTGTAGTGATGCATGCCTGTAATCCCAACACTTGGGAAGTTGAGGCAAGAAGATTGACGTGAGTTTGAGCCTAGCATGGGCTACATAGAAAGTTATGAGACCAATCCATACTACTTGATGAGTATCAATCCGTCCAAGGCTACAGAGTAAGACTGTCTCAAAAAGTCAAAACCCATCAGGCATCAGATGCTCTCTCTGACCCCGCAGATCCACTTACCAGCATTTGAGCTGTAAGAACTGTGTGGAAGAACATTCTAGAATCTTCCACTTCTTGTAGTAAGGGTGGCCCATTTCTCCAAACTGCCAGGTTTCCTTCTGACTCACAGGCGGACCTTTGCCCCCCTACTAAGTTGACAATTTGCCTCATTCTCATGCAAATTGTCAGCTTTCTGACCTTCCACCCTCATAGTTATTTTAGAATTCTAGGCTTTAAGCCTAAAACCTTAAAAAACATCAGTCTAACACAGGAACTCTCAGGTATTTTCAGTAAAAAGTTCTTACTTCCTCTTACCAAATCCTGGATAATGCTAGCCATTTCTAACCAACGGTATGCCTTGGGTTCAGAGAACTTGGGGTGGTGGTTCCCACACATTTCTCATCAAGCTGAGAACATTAACAATCTGCTTTGCATTTTATTTGCTACCCAAGCAGAATACCACAACCTACTCCCCCCACAAAAAATATCAAAATCCCAGAAAAAAACCTAAACAGCAGAAATACCAAGTTTCATGTATTAGATCTTGATTTTGAAGAGAAAAAAAAAACCCACATGAACTGTTTTGTACCTTCCAAGCATAAATGTAGAAAGGGAGT